CCTCGTCCATGTGTGCCTCCTCATCCATACCACCCTCGTCCACGCGCACCTCCTCATCCACACCACCCTCGTCCACACGCGGCTCCTCATCCATACCACCCTCGTCCACACGCACCTCCTCATCCATACCACCCTTGTCCATGTGTACCTCGTCCACATACCATCCTTATCCACGTGCACCTCGTCCACATGCACCTCGTCCACATGTGCCTCCTCATCCATACCACCTTCATCCCTGTGCACCTCGTCCACATGCGCCTCCTCATCCATACCACCCTTGTCCATGTGTACCTCGTCCACATACCATCCTTATCCACGTGCACCTCATCCACATGCACCTCGTCCACGTGTGCCTCCTCAACCATACCACCTTCATCCACGCGCACCTCCTCATACACACCACCCTCGTCCACATGAACCTCATCCACATGCTCCTCGGCCACAGCCTCAACAACATACGTCTCATTCACATGCATCTTAGCCTTGGATCTCAGCCACACGTGCCTCAGCCACACCCACCTCAGCCTCCTGCATCTCATCCACACACACCTCATGCACAAGTTTCATCCACATACCACGACCACAGACACCTCATCCACACATACCTCATGCACACATACCTCATTCACACGCCTCATTCACATGAGCCCCCCATCCACATGCACATCACCCACATCTTTCAACCATAGGCGCCTAGTCCACACATGGCTTACCCACATACCACTCAACCACACGCACTTCAGCCGCACACAATGCATCCACACACAGAAGACAGTTTCTGAAAGGAGACAAGGAAGGGGAACCTGCAGATCCAACAGACAGAGCCACAGACAGATGTACAAAGGCCTAGATAAACCCTCTCACAAGGAAATGGAGACAGAGGCATGGGCTATGGCTGAGACAGTCATGAAAATGAGTGAGCACCAGAGACACGGGAGCAAGAGCCCCAGGACACGAGGTGGACACACTGGAAAGCCAGGTCCTCCCTGGCCTCCTAGGTCTACTTCTTTTATCTTAGCCCTCCAGTGACATAAAAACCCGAGGAGGATCAGGAAGGGGCCTAGCCCTTGCACAGTCAAAAGATGTTGGAACTCGGAGGTGGGGATCAGACAAGGAGAGCCATGAGCTGAGTTCCTATGACCTCAGACCTTCCCTGAGGCAGAAGGCAAAATGTCTTAAAACTTGGAAAAACATAACAAAGAAAGTGATGGTCAGAAGCCAGGTTGTTCGGTTGGCGAGAGGAGGCGGGGGGCTTGTGTTTGCTCTCACACTGTTATCCAGGTGCAGGTTTTGACCAAGGCCTTGCTCGGCAGCTAGGCACTGGATAGGCTCAGGGTCAAGACACTGGCTTGCCAATCCTGGGTAGCTGGATGGAGACACAGAGCATTTTCCATCAGAATCTCTGCCTGAGGCTCTCAAAGCTGGGAGGAGCCGTGCATCAACCCCTGCCTGGCCTTATCTGAAGATTTGACACTGAGACCCAGGGAGTCCCCCAGAGTGGGGGTTGCTCCCACCTCCACAGTGCTGAACTGGTCTGCTTCATGCGGGCTCTAAAGGCAGACATGCTTCAGAGGGATAGGGGATGAGGAGGGGGGTGGGAGTACCTTCTCCCTGCCCCCAACCCCAGCCCCCGGCCCCCTGCAGTCACAAGGCCAAGGTCAAGCACGACCCAGAGAGATGTGGAAAGACTACCGACCAGCCATCTGCTTCTCCTTACTCCTTCTCTTTTTCTCCAGTCTCCGCAGACGCTTCTCCTCCCGCCGCCGGGCCTCCTCCTCCTCCTGGTGCTGCCGACACTTATGGAAGTTCTCCACCACCACACCCACAAACATGTTCAGGACAAAGAAGGCCACAATGAGCAGGAACGAGATGAAGTACAGCAGCATCCAGGGGTTGTGGTTCATGATGGGCTGCGGGAGAGCAGGGAGGACACCATTAGCCAGAGGGGGTCCCGTCTCAAGTGCTGCCCTATAACCTAGATTCCTTAACACAGGGCTTACAAGGTCTCAAACAGCCACAGGGACTCAACAAGTGAGGCAACTGACCGATGTGCACTTGGTGTTATGTAAGAGAGAGGGGTGAGGACTGTGGCAAAGCGGAAGTGCATGTTCTATCCAAAAGCGACAGACAGCTGCTTCATTACTCCAGCTGAGTCCTCAAACTCAACTCAACCTCACTGCCATGAGGCTGGAACCACCTCACAGCTAACCTTCCAGTGGGTTTCTGGCATTGAAAATAGCACAGGAAGAGACCGGCCATTCATTGCTCTTCCAAGGAGCTGCAAGTAGATTCGAACCACCAGCAAGACATGGACTTTGGGTTAGTCCCTACATGCTAGATCACCAAAGCCCCCCTAGCTGACTCCCATCCTAAGGAATCGCAAACCAGAGTTCCCAGATGTCCTGACTTTTCCTAAGCAGGCTCCAATTTGGAACTTTAAGGAAAATCACTAATAGGCAAATGCTTAACACTAATTTAAAGACTTTTGTTTTGGTATGTTTTTTGAACTATAACCCATGTGCTGGGGGATTGCATTTTTGTAAGCTTAGGGAGCTTTGGTGACTTGATGGATGAGGAGTTGCCACTGACAATCCAAAGACCTATCCTTCAAATCGCCCAGCTGCTCTGTGGGAGAAAGACGGGCAAAGCTTTTCATGTGCAATTTACAGCTTTTGAAACTCCCCTCGCGGGTCGGCTATGAGTCTGTATATAACAACAACAGTGGCACATAAGAGCAGCAACAATTTTTAAGCCTGATATTTGCTGACAGAAAAATATTTTTAATTACTAATTTCCCTTCTCAAAGAATTCTAAAAATTAAAAAAAAAATGACAGGATTTTGCAGGTAAGTAAGGTCAGTAAGGCTTGCCCCAGTTCAGTGTACAGGCCACCAGGTGCAACCTCTGCTGTAGAACCTGATGCCTCTTTGGTATCCTCTGAGAAGCTCTCTGTCTGCCCAGTACCTTGGGCTATAAGCCTGTAGTCAGCACGTGCTCAGTGGCTTGGCCCTGCCCACCTCAGCCCTGTACCTGCTGGTCCACGCCCACAGCGTCCAACCCGTCGTACATGATGTCCACCCAGCCATCCTTGGAAGCCAGTACAAACAGAGACATCAGGGCCTGAGGACAGGGGTAAGGAGGAGAGGACCGTCAGAAACATAGCCTATGTGGCCAAACCATACACACCACCTGCCCCCAAAGTGACCCGTTTGGCTCAGGCCCCAGGAGCACCCTCTGCCACAGCGCACCAGGGCTGAAATGCAGCCACAGCAGTGGGAGACCTCAGATCCTCTGCCTCAGCCTGGCAGGACAAGACACCAAACCCAAGGAATCGAGGAACCACGACCAGAGTGAGGCTGGGAAAGAGACCAGCAAAATGGAACGAGTGACTGTATTTTCTACAATTTTCATTCTGAGAACATGCGTAAGAACAGGAACTCTGACCAATAGGCCTGTAGCATGCTTAGCAAACAGAGACATCCTCACATTTGGTTCTTAATACCAGCGCTTGGTGGTGTAGCACTGCTCTGTGCATTGCCATACAGAGGTAACTCGGGGTTGCTGTGATGCTGAACACTATGACAGTGATGTGCCAAACGTGGTAATGGGTACCCATGGTGGACAGTGTTTGCTGCAGCTTCCCGACTAAAACAAGCCTGGAAGCAGGAGCGGCATCCACTTCCGAAATGGCTTGCCTCTGGAAACTCTATGAACAGTGTTCAGACCTTTCATTCATACGGTCTCTAGGAGTCGTCTACGACTCGACGGCACCTAACAACAACAGCAACAACCAGCCTGAGTCCATACTATTATGACTCCTTTCATTAGCTGGTGATGGTGAGGCCCTGATGAGTTAGTCATCTAAGGTCAGATAGCTAATAAATGATAGTGATAGTGCCAAGATTCACAACCAGTGAGGGCTGCCAGACCCCACGGAGGCTTTCTGCTCCACCAGAGAGCAGTCTAGCACAGGTGACGTGGGTCTCTGGTACAAGCTAGCTTTTGACCCTGTAAGCCCCTTCCCCTTTCAGAAGGCCCGTTTGTGCCTCTTTTTTGCTGCCGCTGTTGTTCATGAAGACCCCATATGCTCAGAGCTGAACTGCTCCATGGGTTTTTCAAAGCTGTGACCTTTCAGAAACAGGTCGCCAGGGCTGTCTCCTGAGGCACCACTGGGTAGGTTTTAACTCAGCAGTCAGGCACTTGATAGTGCCACTTCATTCTATGGAGGACCAATGGCCCTGTGGGCTTGTGTGTGGGTGGAGTGTGGAACGGACAGAGTTCTGTGGCTTGCTGCTGGCGGGATGGTGGCGGGTACCAAGGGCATGGCTGCCTCACTTTGCTTCCTCCTTGTTTCTCAACTTCCAACCAAGTCAGCATGCAACCCAGCCCCCCCCCCCCACCTCAGAGCCTGGGGCTCACCTGGCCGAGGTTGTCAAAGTTGTACTTGTGCCGAACCCACCGGTAACTGGCCTCGGCACAGTCAGACTTGTTGGTGATGTTCCTGGTATCCTCGCCCTGGCACACGAAGAACTTCCCTTTGAAGAGCTGTGGGGAGAGCAGGAAACACACATCCACATGGGTGCACAGACACAGAAAGGCGTGAGCTGTGAGCACAGTTCAGGGCTCCCACCACATGTCCCTGAGAGCTCTGGGTACCCCTTGGTTGAGGAAGGGGGGGCTCAGCCGGGGGTCAGTCAAGTTAGGAACACAGCTGTAATCTCCCCTAAATGCACATCCCTTCCTCTGGGCTCTGGAGGCTGGAGACCCCAGCGAGGGCAGGAAAGGTTTCCTGAGGTGGGGAAAGATAGAAGGGAGCTGAGAGTTACTCATTTTCCACCAAAGGCTAAGCCAGTAGTTCATCAATGGACCAGCAGTGTCCATGCCACTTAAGAACTTATTATAAATAAAAATTCACAAGCCCACCTCAGACCTACTAAATTAGAAATGCTGAGGAACTATCATCCCTGTTTTACAGATGAAAGTAAAGAGACTCCAAGAAGGCAGTTTGGCCATGAAGGCACACAACCAGTAGGTGGCAGAGAGGGGGCTGGAACCGAGGTCAGCCTCAGTGGATGTCCATCCTGTACCGGCCTATGCCTCTCAATAAGGTAGGTTATGGCTGTAGGTGGGAAAAATATTTGAGAGAAGGGAGGACCTGAGGGCCTGAGCAAGCAAGAATTTCTCAGCCCTTTGGGACAGACCTAAATCTAGTTGAAGAGTCCCAGGACCGAGCTCAACAATAGTTCATATTTGAGCCAAGGATGCTGGGGTGTGAGCAGGGGAAGAGGCACTGGGCAGTATGGTGGGAAGGGGGTACGTGGAGACACCGCCCCACTTTGGCAAATATACTCTAGCCTGGTTCCCGGAGCTAGAGAATTTCTAGGAAGCTGGGAAATGGCTCCCTCCCCAGGGCAGAATGGGCATCCCAGAAAGAGGGAGAGGAGGGGACCAGCCACCCAGAAACTCCCACACCGCCCATTAGCCAGCTGTTTACCCTGAGGCCGAAACAGCTGGAGTTAGGGACACTGGAGGACTGTGGAGGGGCTCCCTGGCCCCCTGAGGCCTCCACTGAATTCTGCAGGCAGCTCCCTCTCTTCTTCCACCAAAGCCAAATTCCCTCCCTGGGCTGGAGGCCAAGTTCCCCAGCAGCCCCCACTTCCTGCCTTGTCTGGGGTCTGTACCCTCCCGACTGCCAGCAAGCTGCTAACCTGGCCCAGCTGTCTGGGCCCTGAATCCCTGCCTGGCCTCCAGCCCACTCTGCTCGGGCTGGAGTTGAAGGGAGGAGATCCCCGGTAGACTGTGGGCCAACACAGACCTTTAGCTGGGATGGGGGGCTGGGGTTGGGGGAAAAGCCGCCTACAGCTACCTGGGACCTGCAGCCCCTCTGAGACTCTGGACCACCTGAGGGGAGGGCCCTGTTCTAGGCTCCTAGCTTTGGGAAAAATGCCAGACGGCAATGGGGCCTGAGGCCCAGGCCCTCGAGGGAAGTGTCCCTATTTATTTCTTTCTGGAATGAAGGCAGAGACAGCAGCTTGAGCCTCAGGACCCAGGGCCCAGGGGAAGGTGCTTCTCAGGCTTTTGCTGGCAGCTGATCCCAGACCTTCTGGATCCTACAAACCTGCACCCCTAGAATGCCAAAAATGATGAAGAAGGCACAGCAGATGACCACAATGTTCCCGATGGGCTTCAGGGAGGACATCAGCGTCTCCACCACCAGCTTCAGTCCCTGTGCCCGGCTGATGACCCTGCACGGGGAGGGAGAGTGAGAGGGGCCCCCAGCTCCGACAGCTCCTTGTACCCTGGTCCTCGAGCTCCATCCTTCCTCACCACTCCCCCTCCTCGGCAGAAGTAAAGTGTTGGCTTTCTGGGACTCTCTCTAGGCATGCCCACATAGGGACCCTGCTCCCAATCTCTCCAAATAGGTCACAGACACACTCACCCTTTCATTTTCTCCTCCACTCCCAGGGTGTTAAAACTGTTTCTTGCTGGGGCTAGGGGCAGGCAGGGCTATAGATTCAAGGAGGGGGTACCTGAGGAATGTTCTGTGTTGGAGGGCTGGCGGATGATAAACTCACAGGGGACTAGCAGGAGGTGAGAAGTAAACAGGGGAAGTGGGTTATCACAGCTGGACAGCTGGGGAACATCCCTATTGAGTCATAGCTGCCTCTATCCAGGAAAAGCCCTGACTTGGGGGATGGTGACTGCCTTGCTGTAGAGGATTTCCTGAGGACAGATGCCCTGCTAGAAAGTGGCCAGGTAAAGAACAACTATGGCACATGATCTCAAATACAAAAAGCTAAGAAACGGTATACACACAGATAGAATAAATCTTGGAGCATTAACAGAGATGAGAAGTAAGGAAGAGGGGGGGGAAATTTCTATTTTTGCAAAGTATATGAAATTAGATAAGAGATAAATAGATACAAAAACCACAGCACTGGACCAATATAGGGAACATCATGACAGATGGAGAAAAGATTGAAGTTATCAGCAGCTTCATTTCACTTTGATCCACAATCAACAGCCATGGTAACAGCAGTGAAGAAATAAAAAGATTTGCTGCATTGGGAAAATCTGACGCCATGGATCTCTCCAAAGTGTTAAGAGCAAGGATGAAAGGGACATGCTTAATATAAGCCATGGTAGATTCAATTACTTCTTATGCACCTAAAGTTGGAAAAATCAGTATGACAGAAGAACTGATGTCTTTTGGATTGTGGTGTTAGAGAAGAATACCAGATATCCCACGGACTGCCAAAACAGCAAGCAAATCCTTCTTACAGGAAGTGAAACCAGGGTGCTCCTTCGAGGCAAGGAGGGTGAGACTGTGACTCACATACTTGGGACACGGTCAGGAGGGGCCAGTCCTTAGAAAAAGACATCACGATGGGCGAGCTCGAGGGTCAGGAAAATAGAGGAAGACCCTCAACAAAATAAATAGACAGACAAAGTGACTGTAAGAATGTGCTCCAACACTATGCAGCATTGAAAAACAAGGAACTCATGAAATGTTATGCAAAATGGATGGCCCTGGAGGACATCATGCTGAATGAAATAGCTCAGTCACAAAAGGACAAATATTGCATAGGGCCACTGTTGTAAAATGGGACTGACATCAGGGTTGAGGAAAGACGGAAAAGGAGGGGAGGAATGATGTATATTGCATTGAAACAGAAGAGGGAAAGAACTGTTAAGAAGGGACATATGAATAGGTATTCTTGTCATTATAGAAGTCCAGAGTGAAGGCTGCACAGTGGAGTGAACTTGGGGGGAGGGAATGCATAACAATGAGAGTTTTTCTTTTTCATTTCAAAGAGAAGAGTGAATTAGGGGCAGGGGGTGGGTAGGGAGAAAAGTGTAACAATGAATGACTGGAAACCCTAAGTCTCTGTAAACTTTCATGAAAATTACTTAAAAAAGAAAGAAAGAAAAAAAAAAGAATGTGCTCCAGTGTATTGTGAGGTTGGTGCAAAATAGGGCAAAGCTCAGCTCTGTGGTTCATAGGGTCACCATGAGTCATAGTTGATGTGACTGACTATCTATCTATCATCTATCTATCATCTATCTATCTATCTATCTATCTATCTATCTATCTATCTATCTATCTATCTATCTATCTATCATCTATCTATCTATTGTTGTTGTTATGTGCCTTCAAATTGCCTATGGCTCATATCAACCCTTATGCACAATAGCTCTGAACCCTGCACTATCTTGAGCCAATCTCACTGTCTCTAACACCACTTCCCCTATTGCCCCAGTGACTGTGTTAATCCATCTCATCTAGGGTCTTCCTGTCCTGCATTGTCCCTTCACCCTTTCAAGAATGATGTGCTTCTGCAGTGACTGGTACCTCCTGGCAACATGTCCAAAGTATGTTTCTCCTTACCTCCAAGGAGAAATTTGGTTTCACCCTCTTCAGGACAGACCAGTTCATTCTCTTGCCAGTCCATGTCACTATTCTTCTCCAGTATCTCAACCCAAGGGCATCAATCCTTCTTCTGTCGTTCTTATTCATTGTTCAGCTCTCTGATGCATAGAAAGTAATTGTGAAGACCACAGCCTGGATTAGGTGCATCTTAGTCTCTGGACTGACATCTTTGCACTTCAGCACTCTGGAGAGGTCCCTGACAGTAGACTTTCCTAATCCAATTTGTCTTTTGATTTACTGGCTGGTTCTAAGAGTATTGATTGTGGATCTGAGCAAGCCGAAATTGGTAAAAATCTCAATCTTTTCTCCATTTATTATAGTGCTGTCATTGGCCAAGTAGTGAGAATCTTTGTTTTCTTGATGTTGAGCTTCAATTCATATTGAAGACTGCAGTCTTCCACTTTTTTAGCATAAGATGCTTCAGGTCCTCCTCAGTTTCAGCAAGCAAGGTTGTGTGATCTGCATAACACAGGATGTTGATAAGTCTTGTTCATAGAGTTGCAATGAATCATACTCGACTTGATGGTACCTAACAATAACACAGACAACAACAGTATATCTATCTCTAATCTATCTATCTATCTATCTATCTATCTATCTATCTATCTATCTATCTATCTATCTATCTATCATCTCTCTATTTGGAAGCAGGAGTGGCATGCACTTCCTAAACAACATGTCTCTGGATACTCTATGAACTTTGATAAATGACGATAGTTATAGAAAGGCTTCAGGCCTTTGGTTCATAGGGTCGCTATGAGTCATGCTTGACTCTAAGGCAATCAACAACAATATATATAAGTCTTGAACACAAAACTTTCATCTTTTCTCCAAGTTCATAGAGTTTCTGGAGGCAAGCTTTTTTTTTTTTTCCAAGTCAATGCCACTCCTGCTTCCAAGCCTGTTTTATATGGAAGATTTAAAAAAAAAACACAAAACACCCAGCCTCGAAATAGCCCCAGACTGGCAGCCAAAATCCTCTTTAAATATGAGGGCAAATCCAATCAGCTCACACCCTGTTGTGAGCAAAGCCACACCCTAGAGTTTTTTTGTTTTTTTTTAATATGTATGTTGTTGTTAAGTGCCATCGAGTCGTAGCGACCCTATGAAGGCGAGTCCTCAACGCTTGGGTGCCTTTCATCCTCTCTCCAGGTTCATAGGGTTTC